AAAAAAAAAAAAAAAAAAAGAATTAAAGTTTAAATAAAGTGAAAATGGTGCTTTAAAATGTGTATTCTACCCCCACCTTCTCTGGTTGGTTTTACTAGGAACTCAATAATGAAATAAATTTGCAACAGACAGTGATCTATCAAGCTAGCCAGGCTCTTAACTGCTGTGTTGATGAAGAGCATGGAAAAGGGTCCCTAGAAGAAGCTGAAGCAGAAAGACTTCTTCTAATTGCAAGTATGTGGGGTATACCTGAAAGAGTTCCAACAAAATTTCCACCCAGGGAAAATCTATTTTGTGTAACAGGTTCAAAATATCTAATTTAAAGAAAGGACTTTTTTCTTGATCATTTGTTTCTGTTGATCTATTTTTTTGTTTCTTGTAGTTGCAAGGTTGTAAGAACTCTCCAAATAAAATAAAATATAGTTTGCATGAAAGATAAAAGCAACTGAATGCATTAGAAGAAATTCTTATCCTAAGAATGAATGAATGTACACACACACATACACACACATATATGCATATATGTATATACATTTTCTCTGTGTCACTCTTTCTCTCCCTATCTATAAAGTGGTAAAACAACTTCCATGAATTTTGTTTTGTACCTGTGATGATGACAGGGCCTATTGGGGTGGAGAGATGACCACATAAGAAGACTGACTACAAGTATTAAATTATTAGGACTTGGTAAACAGATGAGCAATCAAGTTTTACACAACTACTTACGTCTGTTTATATTAAAATAAGTTACTGATCTTGTCTTTGGTTTTAAGTACATTACTACACCAATACACTTTCTTGAATTGCCTCTCATTTAGAAACAGTTGCAATTTTGATATTTGGAACATTAATTTGCATTATTTTACCTAGCTGAGAGGAGAACACTTTTGATTGATGAGTTGAATAAATTGAAGAATGAAGGACCTCAGAGGAAGAATAAGACTGGTCCCACATCCAAAAATGAATTTGTTCCATCCAAAGGATCAATTACTTTGTCAGAAATCCGCTTGCCTCTAAAAGCAGATTTTGTCTGCAGTACGGTTCAGAAACCAGGTATGGTGATTTTATTTGTATTACATTTAGATCACATATTAAATTATGAATCTTACCTAGATAGGAATTGTATAAGATAGGAACAAGTAAGGCATGCATAAAGATACAAAGGGAAAAAAAGGTGCAAAGCTTGCATTTGTATATTGAGCCTTTGGTTTTTTTTTTTATCAAGGTATGTGTATAAAAAATAACTAAGGGAGAATTTCATATATAGGGTTACTAATCTACACAGTAATGGACATAACTATAATTGAAAGCAAGGCTAGTTAAATCTAATTTTGAATATAAAAGTGTTGACAAATATTGGATATAATATGTAGGTTTTTAAAAATTGTTTTGTGTGAATTATTCTTTTGAGGGAAAGGAAAACTAGATTGGTAAGAAGTAAATTTCAGGTACTGGAAAAATAAAAAATGGAGATCGTATAATGTGAGGATTTTTGTAGGAATAAGGTAATTTATGTTCCAAATTCTTGTTGTTGTCTGATGGTGGGGTGTGGGCAGAATTGTATTGGTAATTTAGTATGCACACATACATTAAGATATGTGATCATTACAAGTAGAAGAAATAGTTTATATTTTTTATTGTAATCGCTCTAGTACCTTTTATAGAGATATGATTTGTTTGTTTGTTTTTTAAATTTTGCTTTTATTTTCTTTTTTCTTTTTATGGAGACAGAGTCTCACTTTGTGACAGTCAATAGAGTACTGTGGAATCATAGCTCACAGCAACCTCCGCCAACCCCTGTGTCCTTGGGTTCAAGTGATTCTCTAGCCTCAGCCTCCCAAGTAGCTGGGATTATAGGCGCCTGCCAGAATGCCAGGCAATTTTTGATAGAGACAGGGTCTCACTCTGGCTCATGCTGGTCTCGAACCTCTTAGCAAAGGTGATCCACTTGCCTTGGCCTTCCACAGCGCTGGGACAACAGGCGTAAGCCACTATGCCCTGCTAAGATACGATATTTTAATTCCAGTTTTGAGTAGCAAATTATAAATTACCCTTTTAAGGTGTGTACTATTAGCTAAGAATTAATGGTCATTAGGTAAAATTCAAAGTCAGCAGAAGTTGAGGAATGTAGTGTAAATTATTTCAATTGACAAAATAGAGAGAAACCCTGGTGATGCTTATTCCAGGATTCGGGGTGACTGACTAGGTCTTAAGCTTTTTTCTGTGTCTGAAAAGTTAGTAATTTTTAAAATAAATTTTATATAAACAAATTGCACTATTACTTTTTTCTTTCGGTATTCCAGAATGCTGATTAGCTAAATCTGGTTTTGCTTGTCCTAATTATGTAATGTGATTACTTCTTACAGATGCAGCAAATTACTATTATTTAATTATTCTAAAAGCAGGAGCTGAAAATATGGTAGCCACACCATTAGCAAGTACTTCAAGTTGTCTTAATGGTGATGCTCTGACATTCACTACTACATTTACTCTGTAAGTAAATAGACTTTTGATGGTTTAAATATATTTATATATATATATTTTTTCAGAGACAATCTCCCTTCGTTGCCCTCAGTAGAGTGCTATGGCATCACAGCTCATAGCAACCTCCAGTTCTTGGGATTAGGCGATTCTCTTGCCTCAGCCTTCCAAGTAGCTGGAACTACAAGCTGGCACCCTACTCACTGAGTCACAGGCTCCGCCCTAAATATATTTTTCTTTAATAGAGTAGATACAGTCTAAGCTTCCAAGTGGCATTTGTAATCTTTGAAATACATTTTTTCATTTTTTTTATATGGGCAAATGACTCATTTTTCAGTTTGTTGGTTTAACTTTTTTAAATGTTTCTGATCTTTCTTTAGTTGAATAGCACATTTCTTCCATATGGCTAAAGGTAGTAAATGTTTTGAAGTGATACGTATTAAATTGTTCTTTTAAGAGACAAGGTCTGACTCTATTGCCCACATTGGAGTAGTGGCATAATTATAGCTTACTGCAGCCTTAAACTTCTCAGCTGAAGTGATCCTTTCTCCTCATCCTCCAGAGTAGCTGGGACTATGCCACCATGCCCAGCTAACTTGTTTTTATTTTATGTATTTTTTTATAGAGACAAGGTCTCACTCTGTTTAGGCTGTTCTTGAATTCCTGGGCCCAAGCACATCTCCTGCTTCAACCTCCCAAGGTGCTGGAATTATAGATGTGAGCCACTGTGCCTGGCCTTAACATTTAATCTTAATGAAACAGATTAAGCAAAAGAGTCAAAATCCACTTTAAAAAATTATTATTTTTATTATTGAAGATCTTGAGTTAGAAGAAAAAAATAGTAAATTGTTCTTTCCAGTTCTTATTGTCTTTAGGTCTTTAGTTAAAGACACAGTGGATTCCTTCACTCTTAGTCCTATGATGGTATATGTGGCATCACTTTCAATGGCATAGCTTTGAGGTTTTTCTTACAGTTTTATTTAATGCTTTATTTTTTCTAGGCAAGATGTATCCAATGACTTTGAAATAAATATTGAAGTTTACAGCTTGGTAAGCAGTTATATAGCTTTCTAAATGAATAGTTATTTTTCTTAATAATATAAGATTTTTAATTGATTACGTTTTGGGTTTGTGTGTAGGTGCAAAAGAAAGATCCTTCAGGCCCTGATAAGAAGAAAAAAACATCCAAGTCCAAGGTGAGAATTAAACCAGGAAAATATTATAATCAGAAGTAATAAATGCCAGTTTTGTGGCCAGTTTTTTGCCATTTTTAATTATTATGAAGTTTTGGGATCAATTCTATGCTCTAAATTTTTAGTTACTATGTTTTGTAGGTATTAATACTGAAAGTAATAACAAGTGATCATGATTCAAAGTATAAACTCCTGATGCCCTCAAGCTAGATAATTCTATTTTCTCTATATTTACTTGACAACTAACTTTTATAATTGCTTAAAACTTTTCTCAAACCTTTTCTTTGAATTCTTGCCTCACTAAGTTCTGTAAACCAGTATAGAATTATATGGTCACTGCGCAGGCATAAGGAACAGAAGCTCTAGCTTCAACCTTCCCAGGCTTTGCTCTTTTGTTCTTTTCCTAAATCATTATTTTAAAAAGATTGTTTTTCTAACAAGAAAGGAATAACAGTATGAGAAAGCCACATATTCAAGTATAAGGTACGCATATTTAAGAATTATTTTGTTGGCTGGGCACAGTGGCTCACACCTGTACTCCTAGCACTTTGGGAGGCCAAGGCAGGTGGATTGCTTGAACTCACAAGTTTGAGACCAGCCTGAGCAAGAGTAAGTCCCCATCTGTAAAAATAGCTGGGCACTGTGGCTTGTGCCTATAGACCCTGCTACTGCAGAGGCTGAGGCAAGAGGGTCGCTTTGAGCCCAAGAGTTTAAGGTGACTATGAGCTATGATACCAGGGCACTCTACCCCGGTTAATAGAGTGAGACTCTGTTTCAAAATAATAATAATAATTTTCTATGTGGGAACATTTCAAGTTTGGTTAATTTTAAAATCTGAATCATAATGTTTAATAGGAAATAAACTAAGGTATCTTTTCCTTTAGGCTATTACTCCAAAGCGACTCCTCACATCTATAAGCACAGTAAGTATAATTTTTAAGAAATTGAACTTTCTTGAGAAATCTTCCTCTTACACATATAATTTTAAATTGGCTGAATATTTCTAAGCCCTTAGCACTGTAGAAATTTTGAAAATATACTAATGGGGGAAAATCTCTGATATTTATGTAGGAAAAATGTTTTTTTCAAAATTCCTTGTATTAAGAGTTTTGTACTTAATATTGAAGTCTTTGAGTTAAATAAAAGAGATAACATGTTTCTTTTTATCTTTTTTTAGAAAAGCAGCATTCATTCTTCAGGTAAGTGAATCTTGAACTATTTAAAACTTTAGAATAAAATAAAGAACTAAGATATAGACTATGTACCAAGGGTGCCAAAAATATATACACAATTTAAGATAGGAAAAAACAGTATTAAATTAGTAACACTCAAGTCACATTTGACTTCTGCAATTATAGGAGATACTCAGTGTGACTTGTGTTCATCTTTAGTATACATTGAGTATTACAATTTTAATACAGTTTTTTCATCTTTTGAAGTGTATATACTTTTTTTTATACTCTCTGTATATGTACATATATATGCCATCTTGATTTAGAAGTGCTTTGATCTCTCATGGAATACTGTTTTTTATGTGGGTTTTTAAATAACATAAAGACCATAGTAGTATTCACCAATCACATACGTAGCACTTTTTCTAGAATGAGTTCACAAACTTAGTTGTCTGACCTCATATGATCATTTGATAATTGTAGCAGGTGGCATTAATCTTCACCTTAACTTCTCTGTTTTATAGATTTGTTTTGTGCTATCCACAAACTCCACTGTGGAGTTTACCTCTTTTAACTTTACCGACCGTAACTGGCACTGTATCATGCCAGAAAAGCATCTTTCTAGTTCACTGGGAACTGGAGTGCCAATACGCCATGAAAAGCCTTCCTTGGAATGGCTTTAGAGCTGTGTTTTCCAAAGGGAATTAGGATGGAGCTGGTTTCCCTGACCTCTTTTGGGCTATTGGTCTCTTTCTTCTCTGTGGTGTAAGAGAGTTACTACAAAGACTTGTACAGAAATAGTCTCTGCTGCCAGTTCTATCACTCTGGACTGTCACTGTCCATAAAATCTTTTCTACATTTTTTAATGGTGCAATTGCTTTTTATGTACACATTTTAAGGTCTGCGTCTTTAAAAATACATTCATCACAAATGTTAAAGAGTGCCTGTAGCTCACTTAAAATACAAAATACTTAATAGTTGCCTTTCATTAGGAAATATGTTGATGTTTTATTTTCTTCCATATTTAAATATGGAGGAAAATGAGGTAGTCTTTTTCTCTGCAGCAATTTAATTTCATTCTGTTAGGGTAGGGTGAGGAATTGCAGTTTACATTTAGAAAAGTCACTCTGAACTAAACTTTGTTTCCTCTACCTTTACAGTTATGGCCAGCCCAGGAGGCCTTAATGCCGTGCGCACTAGCAACTTTGCCCTTGTTGGATCTTACACACTGTCGTTATCTTCTGTAGGAAACACTAAGTTTGTTCTGGACAAGGTAATCCAACTTTATTTGTAAGGGTGTGGTGATATTTTATTTCATTTCATTTTTTCTGAGACAGAGTCTCACTCTGTTACCCAGGCTAGAATACCATAACATCATGACATCAGCCTAACTCACAATAACCTCAAACTCCAGAGTTCAAGTGATCCTCATGCCTCAACCTCCCAAGTAGCTGGGACTCTAGATGCTTACCACAATGCCTGCCTAATTTTTTCTTTTCTTAGTACAGATGGGGTGGGTTCTCACTCTTGCTCAGGCTGGTCTTGAACTCTTGAGCTCAGGGGATCCTTGTGCCTCGGGCTTCCCAAGTATGCTAGAATTACAGGTGTGAACACTAAGCCTGGCCTTTTATTTTTAATTTTAGAAAAATTAGTTTATTGAAAATGCTGCAATACTTTTGAGTATTTGAAATTTTTGGCTGAAAATGTACATTGTTAGAATTGCACATTTTAATTAGTATGGGTGTACCTAAATTATGAATTTTTTAATGTTATAAGTATTTCTCTCGTCTTTTATTAGTAGTGTATGCTGGTTTATTCAAAGCATCACTTCTTATTAGAGATAAGAAGTGATTCTGCCCATACTTTCCTCTCAAGTTAAAAGCTTCAGAATTCAAATCTGTTATATTACCATCGAGTGATTTCTCATCATAATGTGATCTAACTAACCTTTTGAATAGCTAAAAAGACCATTTTAAGGAATGAGGGAACTAAATAAAGAGGCAAACTTTATCTCTTGGTATATAATTATCATGATATATTAGTATAAGAGTTTTTTTAGTCCATAGAGTGGTATTTTATGTTATTATGAGAGATATCTATAGTCAGAATATTGAGATAAAGAAGTATAAAAATTAGATAGCCTGATTTCTAATATTTGCCTCACTAATAATTTATTCTTTAACATTTAGAAAAGGCACTTAATTTTCCTAGAGTCTAGTTTTCCTAGTATTAGGTTAGCTTAAAACAATCTAACTTTAAAACTCTATAAAATATTTTCTTTTAGTTGATGGACCAAAAGCAGACCTGTATTTGAAATTTTGATTTCCTATCAATGTGTAAATATATTTTAACATGTTAATTTTTAAAAATTTATTAACTTTTAATTTAGTATTTCAGCTCGTTTAACAAACTGAGTGATCCTGAGTCTTTTATTTTGTTTGTTTTAGATAAATTATGATGTAAAAGAGCGGGAGCTACTGGGCTATATGTTCCAGGAAAAGGTTGCTATATTTTCTTTGCTTGAAACTAATGAGCTTCAACATCAATCCTTAATTTTTGATCCATATGTATTTGTTTCACTAACAACTACCTTTTTCATTATTTTGAATAATGAAAGACATTATATACAATCTTTCAAATGGGAATTGTTTTCTCCATTCTCATTCTTTATGAGTCTTCTTTGAAAGTTCTTTGTTTTTTTCTACGCATGTTTGGTATTTAGGCTTTTTTCTATATTCTTCTGTTTTATAATTCTTTAAAATTCTATATTCACTTCAATATTGACTTTTCTAAGTACCAGTTAGAATATCGAATTAGTAACCATATTTAAAACTAAAAATTATTTAATATTTTTGACTTGCCATGTACTGAAAAAACTTTTTTTGGTGTTGTTATAAATAAAATTAGAAAACTTTATGGTCTTAATTAGCCAATAGGTGCATTGCTATATAGATGCTTTGTTGTTTATTAATTTTGAGTTAAAATGCATTTGACACTAAAATACTGACTATAATCATTATTTTAGAGGACTTTAAATTTTTAATATTCTTGTAAAGATTAATTGCAAATAGTCCTGTGAGTTAAGAGAAATGCTGGTTAACAAAATCCTGGATGGTATTTTAAATTTTATTTTAAATTCTTACAAGATTTGCAAGTTAGATAAATATAGGAATTGGGATTTTTGTAAACTGTATTTTTTACTCAGTATTGTCACAAAGCCAATTTCTATATAATGTAAGATTTCATTAGTCTCTAAAATGAAAGAGATTCTAATGGCATATCTTAAATATAGATGGTTGTTTGAAAAAATTTTTGGCTTCCATTTTAATTCAAAATGTCACTTACAAATTAAAATTAAATGATATTTCCAGTTTCTTTGTTCCTTTTAAATTGTAATTTAAATAGCCAACAATGTGATTGATTCAATGTGATTGAATCATTTAATTTAGTTGGTGTGTCTTTTACTCTTAAGTTTCTTTCTGAGTCAAATACAGTACAATTTAGAGGTAAAAATTGCGGAGAATTTTGTGCTTTTCTGAGTTGGTGAGAAGAAGCAAATGTTTGTTCCAGTTATTTGCAGTTGATGTAGGAGATTAAAAATGTTACATTTTAGATGTTCTTTAAGTTGGTGGGACAAATATGAGACTTTCTGTACTCATAATAATACTATTTAATTGACTTTGAGAGAGTAAATATGTCTCTCACATCCTACCAGATACTGTCAGTACAAGGGAGTCTTTATTTTACTGGTGCCTGGACCAAAATAATACAACAATCACAGGGGTTATCTCTGAGATCCACTTCAGAATGGAATTTCTATTGAGGTTAATCCAGTCTGTTTGCTCTACAGATTTAGGACACCTTTAACAGTAGATTGCCATGTTATTTGAGGTTGTACATATCTGATTTAAAGCCTGGCTTCCCAGAATTAAATTACAAATCTCAATGATTCAGACTCTCAAACCCTTTCTTTGACTAGGGAATCGAAAACATAGTTTTTATTAGACTTTTATGGTTAAAGGGAGAAGAACATCAGAAAGTTTTTTTCTGACTTAAAAGTATCTCATAGGTATTTATACCTTCTAGAAAATAGCAATGTCAATTTAAATATTATTAGAACAAACAATTTTGAAGTAAAACAATCAATTAGAATTATAGAATGTTGGGATTAAAGAGAGTGATTAGACATTCTGGTATACCTAAAGTTATCTAGTTTATGCCTGTTGGCCTTGTATAATTATTTTATTTTCATCATCTAAAATTTTTTCTTTCTTTCTTTTTTTTTTTTTTTTTTGTTACCACATAAGAGGGTCTTGTTTTTTCACCCAGACTGGTGGGATCATAACTCACTGCAGCCTTCAACTCCTGAGCATTTAGGACTGCAGATGCAAGCCATCACTACTGGCTAATTTTTTTTTTCTCCCTCTTAGAAACAGGGTCTCCTTATATTGCTAAGGCTAATTCCTGGCCTCAACAAATCCTCTCCCATCTCAGCCTTTTTTTTTTTTTTTTAAGAGACAGAGTCTCACTTTATTGCCCTTAGTAGAGTGCTGTGGTGTCACAGCTCACAGCAACCTCTAACACCCAGGCTTAGGTGATTCTCTTGCCTCAGCCTCCTGAGTAGCTGGAACTATAGGTGCCCGCCACAGCGCCTGGCTACTTTTTTGTTGCAGTCTGACCACGGCTGGGTTTGAACCCCCAACCCTCAGTATATAGGGCCAGTGCCCTACCCACTGAGCCTCCCCCACATCTCAGCCTTCTAAGTAGCTTGGACTATAGGCACAAGCCATGATACCTGGCTGGCCTTGTTTAATTATTAATAGTGCTTCTTTCACTATATCCTAGCATATAACAAATTATATGATTATCTTGGCTATAGGTTATGTTTTACTACTTTTGACATAATTTTTGCAGTGTGGATAAACAGAAAACAGAATAGAATCATACATTTTCACAAATCTCAACACTTAGGGGGAGGGAGCAGTAAGCTTGACCTTCTCATGAATATTATCCATTCACTTCTTTTTTTTTTTTTTAATTGTTGGGGATTCAGTGAGGGTACAGAGATCCAGGTTACACTAATTGCATTTGTCAGGCAAAGTCCCTCTTATACATGTGTTCCTCCCCAAAGAGGTGTGCCAAACTCTGTGATCCCCCCACCCACTCCCTCCTTCCCTCTCTATGCTCCCCCATTCCCTCACCCCCCACCATGTGCTAGGTCATCAGTTATCCTCATATCAAAATTGCTTCTTGCTTCTCCATTTGTGTGATGCTTTACTAGGAAGAATGTGTTCCACCTCCATCTAAGTTAGTACAAAAGATGTAAAGTCTCTATCTCTTTTAGTGGCTGAACAGTATTCCATGGTATACATATACCACAGCTTGTTAATCCATTCCTGGGTTGGTGGACATTTAGGCTGTTTCCACATTGTAAATTGAGCTGCAATAAACAGTCAAGTTCAAATGTCCTTATGATAAAAGGATTTTTTTTTTCTTCTGGGTAGATGCTAGTAATGGGATTGCAAGATCAAACGGGAGGTCTAGTTTGAGTTCTTTGAGGATTCTCCATACTTCCTTCCAAAAAGGTTGTATTAGTTTGCAGTCCCACCAGCAGTGTAAAGGTGTTCCCTCTCTCCACATCCATGCCAGCATCTGCAGCTTTGAGACTTTGTGATGTGGGCCATTCTCACTGGGGTCAGGTGATATCTCAGGGTGGTTTTGATTTCCACTTCTCTCATAATTAGGGACGATGAGCATGTTTTCATATGTTTGTTAGCCATTTGTTTTCTTTAGAGAAGGTTTTATTTATCTCTCTTGCCCATTGATATAAGGGAATGTTGGGTCTTTTTTTGTTAATTTGAGTTCTCTGTAGATCCTAGTTATCAAGTTTCTATCTGATAATATAACGGTATCTCTTCCTATTCTGAAGATTGTCTGTTTGCTTTGGTGGTTGTTTAGGTTATTGCTTTGGTTGTTATTTACAACTTCTGTTTACCTGTACAGAAGCTTTTCAGTTTAATTAAGTCCCCTTTCTTTATTTTTCTTGTTGCTGGAATTGCCACTGAAGTTTTCTTCATAAAATCTTTCCTCAGGCCAATATCTTCAAGTGTTTTCGCCACACTTTCTTTGAGGATTTTTATTGTTTCATGCCTTAGATTTAAATGTTTTATCCATCTTGTATCAATTTTTATAAGTGGTGAGAGGTGCAGGTCCAGTTTCAGTCTTTAACATGTGGTTATCCAGTTCTCCCAGCACCATTTATTGAATAGGGATTCTTTTCCCCAGTGTATGTTCTTGTTTGGTTTATCAAAGATCAGGTAGCTGTAAGATTTTACTTTCATGTCATGGTTTTCTATTTGGTTCCAAATGTTAATGTCTATTTTTGTGCTGGTACCATGCTGTTTTGATCCCTATGGGTTTATAGTATTATAGGGCAACTTTTTTTCTTTTAATCAAAATATAACCTGCAAGGTAATTATTGCTCAGATAATTTTGTTCTCTTGTGGTCAGATTGTATATATGTGTATGTGTGTGTGTACACTGTTCATCTGAGTTGGTAAGAATATTTTTTCACGTATTTACATTATTTTCTTTTAAAAAGTACTTGATGGCTCGGCGCTGTAGCACAGTGGTTACAGTACTTGATTTTGTTGTGGTAAAATGATATGCATGAAAACTAGTCTATAGCAACTATGGGAACGGAGTATATCAGTGGTTTCCTAGAGCTAGGGACAGAAGGAGGCAGGATTATAGGAGAAGACTTTTGGGGGTAATGGAAAAGTTCATTATTATGGTTGTGTTGAAGATTTTATGTGTTATAATATACCAAAATTCATCAAACTAGGCTCATAGCACAGTGGTTATAGCATCAGTCACATGCACTTAGGCTGGCGGGTTTGAACCCGGCCTGGGCCAGCTAAACAACAGTGACCACTGATGCAACAACAACAACAAAGCCAGGTTTTGTAGCCAGCGCTTGTAGTCCCAGCTACTTGGGAGGCTGAGGCAAGAAAATCTGCTTAAGCCCAAGAGTTGAAGGTTGCTCTGTGTTGCAACCCCTCGGGGCCCCTCTGGCCCTGGTCTCTATCACCACAGGAAGGAACCAGGCATGATGCAGATTAGAGGTGAGCTAGCCCTTTCCAGGGTAGCCCGGAGCAACCTCTGCACTAGCCTTTTATTGAGACCATACTACACAGGCCAGGGGGGTAATTAACAAATGACTATGTGCTGAAGCCTTGGGCTCTTTCTCCACAAGGAGTACCCACCAATGAATGGCCCAAGGGTCCACCCCCCAGCTGTAAATCATCTTGCTCAGAGGTCATCTGGCTCTTGGCATCCTATATAGCTGTGAGCTGTGATGCCATGGCACTCTACTGAGGGCGATATAGTGAGACTCTGTCTCAAGAAAAAAAATCATCAAACTATACACTTTAAATATATATGTTCAGTTTATTTTGTACTCAATATTGTTAATTTGTGAAAAATTTTCAGTTAAATATAGGGTCTTTAAGTGTAGAATTTAGCGAGTTATGACAAATGTATACACCTGTATAGCCACACCCAGTCAAGATATGGAACATTTCCATCACTCTACCCTTACACCTCCAGGCAACCATTATTCTCATTTCTCTCACCACAGATTCATTTTTCTTGTTCTTTAACTTCATTTAAATGGAACCAGAGAATGTGTCCTTTTTGAGTCTTCTTTTGCTCAATATGGCATTCTTTATACTTATTCATGTACTTGGGTTAGTAGCTCATTGTTTTAAAAAAATGAGTTAAAATTCATATAACAAAAGTAACAATTTAGAAATGAACAATTCAGTGGCATTTGGTACATTCACAAAGTTGTGCAACTACTATCTCTGCTTAGTTCTGCGTTTTTGTCAATGACTTAATGTTAAGTATCTTTTCGTGCACTCATTAGAAAATAGAAACATATATCTTCTTTGAAGAAATACCTATTCAAGACTTTTTCTAAATTTTTTCTTTAGGTTGTTTGAGTTGTTTTAATTTTGTTTTCTTTTTGTTGAATTATCAAGAGATCTTTGTATATTCTGGATACTAGATTATTGTTAGATGATTATTTATAAATATTTTCTATCATTCTGTAGATTCTGTTTTTACTTTCTGAGTAATATGCATTGATAGACAAAAGTTTATAATTTTTTATTGTAGTAAATAATATATAAATGAGTTTTATTGATTTATCAGATAAATCAATAACAAAATTTTAAGCATAACATAATCATTATATTGTACAGCAAATCTCTAGAATTTTTTCATCTTGCATGATTAAAATTTAATACCCATGGGGCCAGATGCAGTGGCTCATGTCAGTAATCCCAGCACTCTGGGAGGCCAAGGAGGGTGGACTGCCTGTGCTGACAGGTTCAAGACCAGCCTGGGCAAGAACAAGACCCCCCATCTCTAAAAATAGCCAGTGTTGTGGTGGGTGCCTATAGTCTCCGCTACTTGGGATGCTGAGACAGGCTGAGACAAGAGAATTGCTTGAGCCTAAGAGTTTGAGGTTGCTGTGAGCTGTGATGCTACAGCACTCTACTGAGTGTGACAAAATGAGACTCTGTCTCAAAAAAAGAGAATTAGTTGGCCCTAGGTGAATGGTTTTATTTCTGTACTGTCAATGTATTCCTTTGGTCTAAATGTCTATTCTTATGCAGCACACAGTACCACACTGTTTGGATTACTGAAGCTTTACATTAAGTTTTGAAATTGGGAGGTATAGTTCTTCCAACTTTGTTCTTTTTCAAGATTGATTTGGTTATTTGGAGCCTATTTCAGTTTTGTATGAATTTAAGGATTGGCTTTCCCATTTCTACTGTTCATTGTTCTTTTTTGCTGAGTAGTACTCTATTATGTGGATTTACAGTTTGGTTCGTCCAGTTACCCACTGAGTATATTCTGTGGATGGAGAACTGGGGGGACATGCGTTCTCTTCTGAAATCTGTGTTTGCTTTCTCACAGGAGCTTGGGTCTTAGGTCTTTTGTTTCTGTCAAACTTTTAGCATGAGTAAATTTATTACAGAAAACATTTGTTGCTAAGGAACCAGTGGTTTTTGGTGGCCATTTTTTATTTTTACATTTCAGCTTTAGAAAATGCTGTGGTTTTGTTGTTGTTGTTGTTGTTGTTTGTTTGTTTTCTTTTTTAATTTCAGATTAATGTACAAGTATAACAATCAGGTTACATTGTTTGGGCTTGTTAGGTAAAGTCCAAGTTGTAATGGAGGAAAATGCTGTGTTTTCAAGGTGTAATATTCTCTGTTCGTAGTTTATACATATATGGCTTATTAAGAAAAAACATTCTTTAAAATTGATTTGCAAATAATTTATCCTCTGTTTTCACAGGTACCCTTTTTATGTCCTTTGGAAGGTCATATTTATTTAAAAATAAAATGTCAAGTGAATTCCAGTGTTGAAGAAAGAGGTTTTCTGGTAAGTAACATCACTTAATCTTTATTTTCTTTTTTCTTTTTGTGAAATGCAGACTTGGTTTCCCAGAGGAATGAAATCCTGTGTGATTAAATAAGTTGGTTCAGTGAAGCCTTGTTGTACATCCTGTGCATGCCAGTCTCTGTGCTGGTGTCAGGTTAGGCTGTTGCCATTTGCTCCTGCTGACTTCCTTGGAACCTGGGTAAAGCAGAGGGCCGTGACAAAGATTCTCACACTCAGCTATTGCGATGAGTCTCAGACAGGCAAGCACTCTGACTAGCATAAAATGTGCAGGGAGAATGCCACCTCTTCTAAAGTCTCACCAGGCCTTTTATTGTGTTTCAACAAATCATTTACAATATAGCATTAGCTGATTTATCATGATTATTTAAGAATTCAGGAAACTATGTCACACATGACATATGGGTGATCTTGCATTAAAACCTAAGGGGAATAATGTATAGGAGAGTAGACAAAGGATTTGGGTTAGAATTAACTTTTATTTTTTAATTTTTTAAATTATTTTTTATTAAATCATAACTTTGTACATTGATGCATTTATGGGGTTCAGGGTACTGCTTCAATATACAATGTGAAATGCTTATATTGAACTAAGTAACACATCCATCACAAGTATACTCATTTCTTAATAGTTTTGAAATGTACAATTGCATCATGCACATTAGGTCAGGTCCCCCCAGATACCCTGAAAATTAACTTTTAAAAGGAAATGTATATTGTTAAAGGGAGTAGATGTTACCTTTTAATCTATACTGCTAATCTATTCCATCCAGCCCAAAGGGCTTTCTAATCTAATCTTTTGATTTGCTAAAAACCGGTTAAGCTTTCTATCCTTGTGGCTGTTTCCAGCTTCTATATAAGGAGCCAGGCTCTTGCCCTTTGAACGCCTCACAAATGCTTTACCATCTTTGTTGTGTCCTTTGTAATTTTTCTATCCTATTCCTACAATAGGCCTCAAAAAATTTCTCCACACATGGGCTTTTAGTTTAGTAGGGAGAAATGCCAGAGAACAGACAAGTACAGTACAGGTGCGTAAGTGTAAATTGGTGGAACACCACATCTTCTTAGGTAGAGATAGAGTCCGGCTCTTGCTCAGGCTGGTCTCAAACTCTTGTCCTGCAGCTGTCCTCTTGCCTCAGCTTCCCAGAGTGCTAGGATTACAGGCGTGACCACCACTCCTGGCCTGGGATACCAGGTCTTGACTGTGAGTAAGGTTAAAGAATGCTACTAGGGAACGTAACTTCTAAACTGCCAGCTGAGTGAGAAGTGGACACATTCAGACAGTGGCGGGTATCTTAGAGTTTGAGCCTAAGTGTGTAGTGGGAGGGAGCATGAGGAGAGTGGGGGAGAAAGTGTGGTTATGGGAAATGGCCAAGTGTTAAAGGGCTTTTTACAGAATTTTAAAGAATTTAGACTTTATCCTTGGGCCAATGGGGTCTGTCGTAGGATTCTAAGCAAATGAACACATTTTGGATTTAGAAAAATCATTCTGACGTGTGAACATAGATTGGAGAATGGCAACCCCAAAGAAGACTATATAGGAGATTGAGTTTCTCCGATTATGAGATGTTGGGGACTGGCAGGTGGGATGGAGAGAAGACCCTATTTGGGGGAGACACCCAGATTCCTGCCGTGTACAACCTGTTGGATGCTACTGAGATGAGGGAGCTTGCAGGCAGAGCAAGTGTGCCCCTTGTTCCTATGCTTGGGGCGGGAAGTGGTGTATCTTCCCACAGTGTTTTATTGTGAAAAAATGTCAAACATTAAGCAAGTTGATTACAATGAATGCACATATAGCCACCATCTACAGTTTACTTGCAAATACTTTTTACTCTTCTTGCTCCTCGAGCCTTTACTCAGTCTGTCTTATTTTGATAATTTGGAAGTGTATTGTATTCATTAGGTACTTTCCTCTAAATTATAAGCACATGCTCCCTGAGATTTGATAGATACATATACCTTGCATAACACAAGTTTCTATTAAGATATAGAACACTACCATCACCCAGAAAGTTCCCTCATGCCCCTTCATAGTCCATTCCCACCCAAGGTGGGACATTTTTAATGTGTTAAGTTCTAAACCATTTGAATTATAGATGCCCAGAGACATGTTTCAGAGGTCTGGATTTGGAGCTAAAGACATTTTAGTTGAGATGTAGATTTGGGTATCTGTACCATGGAAGTGACGATCAGAGCCCCGGGTGAAGGAGTGAAGCGGAACTACGAGGAGCACCAGCATTTAAGGCATCTGCTGGGTGAGGGGAACCCCCAGGCAGATTGCAGTGAGGGAAGTAGAAAATTTGGCATCATAGTTGGCAAGCAAAGAGTGCATTAGGAGGAGGGAGGGCCAAGTTAGATCAGGGTCTGTTAGGACTGTTGGACTTATTTACCAAGTGGTCATTCCAGCCACAGAAGCTGGATTACAAATGCTCTAATGAGTGAGTGAGAGGTGAGGAATGAGAGCAGGAGCAAGCCTTGGAAACAGTGTGGCAGTGAGAGTGGAAAGAGACCAGAGTGTCCTTCTTGTAGACGTGTATAGGGGAAAGAAGGATTCTGTTGACATTTTAAGGTGGGAGAAACTTTAAGTCACTACCTTTTATTTTAAGATGGGAGTGGCTTTAAATGCAAATGGAAAGCTTCTAATAGGGCTGAGGAGGTCAAAGATGAAGGCTACAGGGAACCTGTGCAAGGCTCAATGGGGTAATTCATGGCACAGCATCATGAGAGTGGGGAGAAATAAGCCCAAGTGCCACTCATGGGTTGTTCTTATTCAGAATTATACCTTTCCCAGCGTCAGAGGAGAGAAGTGTGTGTGCAGAGTGCATAGTGAGTCTAGTGCAAGAAGCAGAGAAGATTTAATTGTGAAGCAATTGCTCCATCTCTGTGAAGCAAGAATTTGAATGATACAAGGGATGTTACAAAGCAGTCTGCAACTTCTGTCAAAGGCACAGAAAGAAGAGCTAGATTCTAACTAAGGAAAGCCCACGTGGAGGTTAACTATGGAGCACACTTACTGTTAATTTTTTTTCTTCCTTTTTAGCTTTTTTCACATGTAAAACCAGCAGGTGGCACTAGATATGCTTGGAAAAGCATTTTTATAAACATTTGACTTGAAGTCAGTGTTTATATCTAAACACTGATCTTTTCCTTTAATGTAAATATTTTTATATTATATTTAGACACCTTCAGCAACTGATGGGCTATCTTATGGTAGCTGGTTCATTTGCATGAGATGTCCATCCTATTTACTTTTTCCTTTACTCTGAAATCCTATAGCTCATTATTATCACATCCACACTTACAGAGATATGGTAAGAAAGAGCTCAGGATTTGCTAGCATAACTTCTGCCCTCTGCCTAAACAAGGCATTTTAAGTACCTCTACCCTCATTAAAAAATAAAAGGTAGTGACTGAAGTGAAAGCTGCTCTGTTTGGTTTCCTTGATGTCCTGATGTGCCAGGGCAGCTGAAGGAGGGAGACTACAACCAAAGAGACTGGTAGGTGGTTCTGAAATGCTGCTGGTTCTGCCTCCACTGGTGAGCACTAAGAGGTGGGCATTCTAGACTGGCCTCTGGAAAGTTCCAGCTCTGCTTTGTTAATATGTGTCATTTAATTTCTCTGCCCATCAGTTTCCTCAGCTTATAAAAATGAAAAGGCCGTCCTGTTCTTCTTCCTCTCTGATTATAGTAGGATATAATAGCTGGCATTATTCTTGGCGGTCGAATTTTCCTTGTCTATTACCTTTATAATGTAAAAGGTGAACATAAACCACAGGAGGAAGCTGGTGAGTCATTTGTCATAACTTTTGTACTTCAGAATGAAGTAACAAGGTTCCTTTTCATCTTCCTTGGGTGGCTGTGAGCAATGTTACCCAGAAAAAGGAAGCTGAGAGGAAAGCAGATAGACTAGAGGAGGAAAAAAAAAAGGTGTGCAGGAAAGAATATGGTTGTAGTGAGCAAAGTAATTGAAGTTTCAATCTATCATGGAAATGTTTTCCTCTCACACACAGAGATGAACAGAGATTGCATTCCTCATTCAAGCCACTTTTTGGAAATTCACAGAAATTAGTCAATTGAGAAGAGTATATATCCTACTATCATAGTGTTGATGTAAGGATTAATTGAGATAATGACTAACAATTTTTGGATGTCTGCAGCATAGAGGTGGTGACATACTTAGAATGGTACCTCACAGCAACAATCAAATAATACTAGTTCATTATCAATTATCACAGAAAGGTAAAGTTGTGATTTGAAGGTGGAAGAGCCCCAATGCATTCTGAAATCAAACACAAAGATGCCTTTGGATTATTGGTATCAGAAGGCCGCATATGTGCATAGTAGGGCCCATGCCTATTTTTATAGGCTTCTCTTCAAACACAGGCTCATCTGTTTACTTATTGTCTATGGTTCTTTTTCTTTGTTTGTTTGATTTTTTTTTTTTTTTTGTAGAGACGGAGTCTCACTTTATCACCCTTAGTAGAGTGCTATCGCGTCACAGTTCACAGCAACCTCTAACTCCTGGGCTTAGGTGATTCTCTTGCTGGGACTACAGGTGCCTGCTACAACACCCACCTATTATTTTTGTTGTTGCAGATTGGCCGGGGCTGGGTTTGAACCTGCCACCCTCGGTATATGGGGCCGGCACCTCACCCACTGAGCCACAGGTGCCACCCATTGTCTGTGGTTCTTTCTGTGCTGTGACATCAAAGCTGAATAGTTGTGACAGAGACTATATTTCCCACAAAGTCTGTAGTCCTTACTTTCTGGCCCTTTATAGAAAAGTTTGCCAACCCCTGATTTATAGTGTTGTCCAGTTTTTACCTTGCTTTGTTCCTTAACATAAAAATTCCTACGGGATTTTTTAAATTGAAAATGACCTTTATACAAATTAGGGCTCTGTTATGACAACAACTAAAAAATACTAGGGGTAGGGACCCGGTTTCTATTTACACTGTTTAAGTGGAAGTACTTCCATAGGAAAAAAAAAATGTCATTAGTTTCTTGTTAGAGAGTCCCATCTATAACTGATAGTACTGCTTCATCTAGAAGATGATAAATCCATCGAGCCTTATAATCACAAGCTGACTTTTTCTAATCCTGTTAGAACAAATGTTCTGCTGAATAAAAATCAAATGCCAGTCTCTTGTATTAAGTAAGGTAGATTTAACCTAATATACTATCATTCATTATTTTTTGATATATAGGGTACAATGCTCTCATATCATTTTCTTCTTCAACATTTGAGGCACTTCTCTTGTTTAAGAAATAGTTGGTTATGGATACTGCCCTTCTGTGGCTTAGTGGGCAGGGTGCCGGCCTCATATACTGAGGGTGGTGGGTTTGAGCCTGGCCCCAGCCAAACTGTAACAAAACAATAGCAGGGTGTTGTGGCGGGTGCTTGTAGTCCCAGCTACTTGGGAGGCTGAGACAAGATAATCACCTGAGCCCAGGAGTTGGAGGTTGCTGTGAGCTGTGATGTCATGGGACTCTACCGAGGGTGATAAAGTGAGACTCTATCTCAAAAAAAAAAAAAAAAATCTAAAATTTGGTAGAGATATTTGTTTGGGGTTAATATTTAGATCAGTGATTTTTTTTTCAACTAGTGTGCTGTGAGGGGATGTTAGGTATGCCATGAAAATTTTTAAAGATCATTAATTAAATTATATTTGAAAGAAGTTCAAAGCACAGTAATTATAATCCGTTTATTACTCTTTTTTTCTTTTCTTTTCTTTTTTTTGAGATAAAATCTTACTGTGTTGCCCTTGGTAGAGTGCTATGGCATCACAGCTCACAGCAACCTCAAACTTTTGGGCTTAAGAGATTCTCTTGCCTCAGCCTTCCAAGTAGCTGGAACTACAGACAACTGCCACATCGCCTGGCTTTTTTTTTTGGTAGTTGTTATTGTTGTTTAGCTGGCCTGAACTAGGTTCAAACCCACCAGCCTTAGTATATGTCGCTGAAACCGTAACCACTGTGCTATGGGCGCTGAGCCTTATTACTCTTTTTTTGATCAGCATAATTTAAGTGTGCCCTGAAGTTTAACTATTGGTTTAAGTTTGCCGTGAGATTAAAAAAAAGTTGAAAAATACTAATCTGGATGTTCTTGAATGCTTGTAGATGATGTTGAAATAAATTTCTGATATGGCCAATCAGCAATTTTCATTACTAAGGTAAAAAACATGATAAAAATACAAATGAAACAGATTTTGAGGTATGAAATATGTGAACATACTGAAGCTTAACATAGAGAATTAGCATTTAATTTTTAGGATACTCTTCAAATTTCTAAAGCTAGCATTTTAATTGACTTTTCTAGACCATTTTTGAAGATGTTAGTGGTTTTGGTGCCTGGCATCGAAGATGGTGTGTTCTTTCTGGAAACTGTATCTCTTATTGGACTTATCCAGATGATGAAAAACGAAAGGTAATTTAAACGGTACTGGTTAGTGGTGAAAGTTCTACTTGACTTTCATGGAGTGTTTTATGCAGGTATTCCCTCTTGCCCTTACCAGCCACTCACAAATTTCTTTGTGCGTACTTTCTTTTGTGAGCCATCAAAAATGTCCTTGTTACAGACCAAAGTGTGTGTGTTGGATATTTGATGAAAATTTTATATCCTATTCATTCTCTGTGGTTTGACCACTCCTTAAATACCTTATAGTGTGTATTTTTCCTTCTTTTCTGCTGGAATATTCATTTTTCTGTTGACATTTTTAGTTGCAAATAAAGTTAAATTCAGTTGCATATTTTATTAGCTAGTTGCCCTCTCTACATCTGTTATAAAATAGTAATGGGTGGTTTCCCATTACTGTAGTATCCCAGATCTAGGTAAGTCAATGATTTTGGTTTTGTTTCTAAAATTTAACAGTGGGATTTTGTAAAGTAACATTATATCTCATTTTAAGATAAGTTAATATAATTGCTCAAGTAAGATCATTTATTATTCAAAAACTAGAAAATGGAAATAACAGAATTAAAAAGGAAAATCAAATCATCCATAACAGAGATAACTATCTTTTATATTTTGGTTGTGTATGCTACTGAACTTTTAAAATGTATACTATAATAATTATATATTCATTTATGAATCTTTTTTATAAGGGCAGCATGCTTTTTATAACATGATTAATACTTGATGTATATATTCTGACATCTTTCCACATCAGTAAATGTGCATCTATAATGTGTTTGATAGCTAAATGTATTATATTATAGTCACTAAAATTATTAATACTATTAAAATTTATTATGAAAGGTATAAGACATTCAAAAAGGCTTCAGAAAATTCAGTGAACCTCTGTATTATCAGTCTTGTTGAAGCTTTCTGTATAACTCTCTCTCCTCCACAGAGATAGTTCCTATCCTAAAATGTTTATTATTCCTATGCATTACTTTAAATTTTTATTATATAGATTGAGTATTCCTTATCTGAAGTGCTTGGTTCCAGAAATGTTTTAGATCAAGATTTTTTTTTTTTTTTAGAATTTTAGAATATTTGCATTATACCTGCCAGTTGAGTATCTCCTAATCTAAAAATTCAAAATTTCAGACACTCCAATCATCACTTCCTTTGAACATCATGCTAGTACTCAAAAGCTTTCAAATTCTGAAGCATTTTGGATTTTAAAATTTTCAAATTTGAGATGCTCAGCCTATATATGTATATAAGCAATATATGTTATTGCAATTGCATGCTTTTGAACATGATACAAATAATAGACTACGTGTATTATGCAACTAGCCTTTTTTTTTTTTGAAACAGAGCCTCAAGCTATCCCCCTGGGTAGAGTGCTGTGGCATCACAGCTCACAGCAACCTCCAACTCCTGGGCTCAAGCGAGTCTCCTGCCTCAGCCTACCAGGTAGCTGGGACCACAGGTGCCTGCCACAACGCCCAGCTATTTTTTGGTTGCAGCTGTCATTGTTTTTGGCGGGCCCGGGCTGGATTCGAACCCACCACCTTAGGTGTATGTGGCTGGTGCCTTAGCCACTTGAGGTACAAGTGCCGAGCCGCAACTAGCCTTTTTAATGTCAATATGGATTGTGAAATTAGTCAAGATCGACATGTGTAGTTCTGGTTGTTCCTCTTTTCTCGGTATTGTGGTAGTATAGAAGTCCAATTGTAAGAACATCACAGTTCATCCTTTCTACTATTTATGGACACTTAGTGTATTTCCAAATTGTTACTATTGCAGACAGTACAGCTGTGATTTATTTTCTTGTAAATATGGATAAGAGTTTTTTCTTGAGTTTGATCTAGTAGTAGAATTGCTGAGTTGTAGGGGTTGTCCATATTTAACTTGACACTTTATTTTGTCAAATAATTCTCAAAAGTGGTTGTACAATTTTTCCTTCCCCACCAGTAGTACGTAATAGTTCTCCGTTTTTCATATCCCTACCCACACTTCCTATGTCAGCCTTTTAAACTTTTGTCAGTATGATACATGTGAAATGTTGTCTCATTTTTTTTTTATTTTGTATCTTTTGATTACTAGGATAAGCATCTTTTCTTAGGTGTATGGCCATTTATATTTTCTCTCCTATGAATTGATTGTCTATGTTTTATCCATTTTGAAAATCTATTTTGGTGGACTGCAATTATATTTCTTTAGTCTGAGTCTTGGCATGTCTTTTATCTTTATATTGTCTTTTCATGAACAGAATTTTCTACTGTTGAGGTAATCAGATCTGTTACTATGTTGCTATGTTTCTGCTTTATTGAGTCTTCTTTAAGAAACTATCCTTCCCCTCCCATCATAAAGATTTCTCTTATACCTCCTTCTAAAGTTAATGAGTTTTATAATTCACATTTAATTTACCTAGAATTGATTTTCTTTTCTATCTGGATAACCAATGATGACAACATCATTGAATGGTCAGTCCTTTCCACATTGATCCACAAAGCCATTTCTGGTATGTAGCAAGGTATCATTATAGGTGCCAGTTTATTTTAGGGTTTCTATTCTCTTTTCTTTAGTTATTTTTTTGTCCCAATCTCAATGACCATAGTTTTAAAATAAATCTAATATCTGCTAAGGCAAGTCTCTTAACTTGTTCTTATTCTGTAAGGTATAGTAGTTCTCCCCATCTGTGGGAAATACATATATCCCAAGCCCCTTAGTGAGTGCCCCAAACTGCCATCATTCACAATGCATTTCTGTTAATGTCTTCTAGCCACAAGTTTAATGTCATTTAACTTAATTAGGTGCTGTTGCCATAATGTTTACAGTTTGATTTGTGACAACAAAAGTAGCTAGAATTTCTTTTTTTATCATAAAGAGTTTTGTAGGATAGTTGGCAAGAGCTATCACTTGATGTTTTGGGGTTCTATTTTTATATTCAACAAGAAACAATAAATATTAAATATGTTTGTCTAAGTCTAGTGTAACTAAATTTTAATTTTTAAATTAATGACTTTTAAATTTGAATTTGTATTAACTTAAACATTGCTTAATGCTTAATGACTTAGTTTTATTTTCTACCTAATACTTTTAAAATGTTTTTTAAAGAGTCCCATAGGAAGGATAAATCTGGCTAATTGTACCAGTTGTCAGATAGAACCAGCTAACAGAGAATTTTGTGCAAGACGCAACACTTTTGAGTTAATTACTGTCCGACCACAAAGAGAAGATGACCGAGAGACCCTTGTCAGCCAATGCAGAGACACGCTTTGTGTCACCAAGTATGTATTGGTCTATAAATATTTCTATCAACTAAATAATTGGTTGCCCACTATGTTCTTAGCACTATAAGAAATATAAGAGATGATCTTTATCTTTGAAAAGGGTATGATGTTAGAAAACAAACACACAGCAGTAAGAGAATAATCTAGAATAACTAGATAACATAGTTAAGAAAAATATAATTTTCAGGTTATATCTTAGCTAATCATGGTTTCTAATATACTTACAGTATTGGCATTTTCAAGGCAGTTAGCTAAATAATGTTTGCATTATGTTTAAAGACTTTATGTGTAGTTGAGGCCAGTTGCAATGGTTTCTGGATAATCCTAGCACTTTGGGAGGCAGAAACAGAGGATTGCTTTGAGGCCAGAAGTTTGAGACCAACTCGGATAACATAGTGAAACCTCATCTCTATAAAAAGTTAAAAAATTAGCCAGCCATGGTAGGTGTGTACCTAGAGGCCCAGCTACTAAGAAGGCTGAGGCAGGAGGCTCACTTGAACCCAGTAATATAGTAAGCTATGATGATGCCACTGCACTCTAGCCCAGGCAACAGAGCAAGACCCTGTCTCAATAAGTAAATGAGTAAAGAGATAGATTACATGTATAGTTGCAAAGTTAACCATTATTCAAAGACACTTTGTACATCCCTTTTCATTTTCCAGATATGCTTATTTAATCAGATGACTTACAAAAATAATCTCATTCTATTCTGCGTATTTCTCATTGGAGATTAACAGGATAAAACTCTTGGGAGTGTCACTTATTTTATTAACTCCGAGCTTAAGTATAAGATACGAAAGCTTATTGCTAAGAGTCTAAGATAGGTTCTTTTGCATATATGCCCAAGAGAAACTTCAAGACCACCTTCAATGTACAGAGTTCTGATTAGGTAATAAAACTTAGAATTTGATATAATTTTTAGTAATTAGGCTATTATTTAATATTGTAGATGGGGGATGGGTAGAACTAGCTTCATAAGTTTCTGATGTGAAATACTAGAAAGCTATACTAAAATAGAAAAAAGTTGCCAAGAGACTACCAATTTTTTACAAAATAGCTGGATAGACGGCCCATTCTTTGGAAATTCAAGAACCTTCTATGTAACAGTGGTTTCAGAAGGGCGGGAAAGGTAAAATGGATTTACAACCATTTTAAATGGGCTACACTGTCTATAGCCACAGTCATTGGGGAACCAACCAAAGTGCTGTACCCAAATAGTTCCAGGCCACAGCAGCCCACTTCCGCCCTGTTAAACATTGCTCACATTTTTCAGATGACTTATATTTTTACCAGTTGCATAAGCCTTCTTAGACTGATTTATAGACCTTCCCCTGTGGTATAAATAGCTAGATTCTATGTTGCTCTGATTAACCTGTACCTCATTTACTTGTATTTTTTCCCATTATAATATTATCATAATGTGGATGGTGTTCCTTTGCTCCAGCATATGAGAGGTGCATTCTCAATTCAGGTTTGACTGAGTCTTCAGCTTTGCTTGCTCACCTGAAACTCAGCTCTCACTTTTTTAATCACAATAATATAAACATTCTGTGGTTCTGTATTCTTCTTTGCCATATTCGTCTGTTTCTTTTGGGGGCCTTTTTTACCTATACCTTTATCTGAATTTACCGTATCTTCTTGTCATCTCTACTAATGAAGCTAACTAGCTTTCCCTTCTTCAGTGTAAAATATTTCTGATCTACATTGCCTACTTCAAAATAGAGACTACACATTTGAACTACAAATGCTTTATCACATGGGGAGGCAATATTTTGCAATAGAGCTTTGGAGTCAACAGACCTAAGTTTAAATTTTAACTCAGTGATTTATCAAATGTAACTGTGGTAGGCCACTTTGCTGGTTCTCTGAATTCACCTGTGTCAAAAGGGAAAAACAAACTCCACAGATTGATATAGAGATTAATGAGAAGACACACTTAGTACAGCGTCAAACATGTTGAATGAGTTCAACAAATGGTCACAATTATTTTAAGTATAGTATTTTCTCAGTTGACCACTAGTAGATGATCAGCTCACCACTTATTTATGCTTATACCATTTTTAGTATGAGTGGGAGAAATTATAAAGATGCAGGAATACAGTATAACGGGCCAGTTGTGAGTTAGAGAATTCCCTCCTTCCTTCCCCCTGCCTGCCGCATCAACTAGGTACTCAACTTGTAGTTAAATATGCATGGAAGAGATTCTTGATTAATACAGAAAGGTTAGGTAGGATACATGAAATCCTAGGATCTTTAGACAATTTATTTTAAGGACAACATTCTGTTAAAATAGTAGGACAAAAATAATGGGAAGCAGTGCAAAAGAGTTTTATCTGTAAAGCCAGGTGAAGGTCCTATGGTGCCAGTGACCAAACTGGGGATCATTTCACCCTTTTGTGCTTGAGGAAGCACCTTATTTTGTGGCCCTTGATCACCATCCATAAAAGATGGGAAAGAGTAACTCATGTTACTGGCTTGTTTAGTCATTCTTTTTTTTCAAGTAAGAGTACATGGAGTTATGGCATGGAGAGAAGAGAACTCTGACCTCTTGTGTTTTGTTCCTATAGGAACTGGCTGTCTGCAGACACTAAAGAAGAGCGGGATCTCTGGATGCAGAAACTCAATCAAGTTCTTGTTGATATTCGCCTCTGGCAACCTGATGCTTGCTACAAACCCATTGGAAAGCCTTAAATTGTGAGAAATTGAGAAGCTTTTTGAGGTATTGCACAAATGGATCTTAAGAAACACAGTTAAGAGCATCAGATTTGCTGATTGCATTTTATGCTTTAACTATGAAAGGGTTTGTGCCAATATTCACTATATAATAAATATGCAGTATTTATATCTTTTGTGTATAAAACTTGAACTGATTTCTGTCATTCATAAATGATTGGAAGTAAATTTATTATAGATGATATTGCTAAATCTTAATTTAAAAGCCTCATTTTCCTAGAAATCTAATTATTCTGTTATTCCTGATAAAATATTTTTTTAAAAGTAGAAAATTTCGAGTTTTCTTCTTGGAGCTATGGGTCTCACAGTAGCAAGGTCTTCCAGGGATTAGAGACAAAACCCTCAGATTTGATGATCTCTGGCCTCCAGTAGTTTTTTCTAAAGGTTGTCTTCATTTATTGGTCATGGTAGGACTTGTTAGTGGAGTACTGAAAAAAAATATTAAGGCTTTTACAGAATCATTTTTAGTCAAGGAGATGAGAACTTTTTCAAATAGAAATGTATGTTAGCTTAAAACCTGAGGCTACCCTAAAAGACATGTAGACAGAGGGGATTATATGACATTTGGCACATAAGGATTTTATATAGAAGAGTTAATAATCACATAGTTTTTACTCCGTTATTGTATGCAGTGTGGTGCACATTTTCATAGAATTCAGGCTTTAGTAAGATAACTATTTTTGCCATATAGCTTACAGACTCCTGAAATGTAATTAGCATATTAGTTTAGTTTTTTTCTGCTTCTGTAACAAAAACAAATGTAAATTGAAGCATCTTTATATAAAGTAAACTTTTACAAGCTGCTATGGGTTAATACTTGGCTTGCCAAAGTTCTGTCTTCTCTTTTTAATATCCCTATAAGGATCTAGGAACCCATTCTGAAATCATTTGAAAAACTGTTAAGTCATGTATCACCTTTAAGAACCTAATATCGTCTTTGATTATTATAAAATATTATAAAGCATGGTCTCTACTTTTAAATACACTTTGAATTTTTTCTGAATGATTAAAGTTATTGAAGATCTCGTTCATAAACACTAAATTCTGTCACCTCCTGCCATTTTACTTTGTATTCTTTCAAATGTGTTTTTTCTTATGTATGTTATAAAAGTATATTTTATGACCTCTTATCCTAATAAATACTTGTAAGTGGCTAAAGGAATCAATTACTTAAAAAAATATAGTTTAAGTGTGTGGTGTGGCTGTTCTACCTTCCTGGTCTATGGGGCTTCCTGAGTTATTCCAGAGGAGTATCTCATGTCTGTGTTTATCTACAGCCCAGTTCAGCTTATTGTGTGTTCTTAGGGTTGCTGTTGAATGCACAAGTGGACGAGGAGTCTACTTCTGAGGCATTTCATCCAAATATGCTGATTGGACAAGAATTTGGGGAGATGGAGAATGATCCCAAGTCCTTAGCAGAGACTGAGTGGATAAGTGATAGCTGCCAAAACCAGGAGTAGGTTTAATGGGATTGAGATGGTGCCTTGTATTTATTTGTAGACTTGCCTTTATTTTTGAGCAGGCATTCAGAAAGCATATAAGCATGGTACAGAATACAAAAGGCACAAACGAGTTAGAAGGAAGTCTACTAAACTACTTTTATCAGTTTTTGTGTGTCCTTTCAGAGAACACTATGCATATTGCATAGAATGTTTATATTCTTTCATTCATACAAATATTCCATACATACTATTTGTTGCAAGTTAAAGAAAAAAATGGCATCCCTTACACAGCATTTGATCTTGATGTTAATATATGGAGAGTTTTCTATAAAGATCAATTTTAGAAAAAATTTATTTTAAGGTGATTTTGGGATATGAAGTTAGAAATACCCCCCAAACAGTAGAGAATACTGCTCTAAAGATTTCAGTGTCGTCTGTGAAGTGGTGGTGGTGGTGGGGTGGTGGTGGTGGTATTGACACCTTTAAAATGAATAAGATTATCCTGGTAGTAAGATATGGGAAGAGAAGAAAGAACAGAAGGAACACCATTATTCAGGGGAAATGTGAAAAAGGACTGATAATGATTGTCTTCCGTGAAAGAAAAACAAGAGTGGTGTCTGTGAGCCCAGAAACGAAACGTTCTGATCACAGAAACAAAGCAGAGTAAAGAAAATGTGAATTGGTATTTGGAGCAATAAGTTCAATAAAACATTTCAGATAAAATATCAAGTCACAGGTGGGGCGTGGTGGCTCATGCCTGTAATCCCAGGACTTGGGTGGCTGATGTGGGTGGATTGCCTGAGCTCACAGGTTCGAGACCAGCCTGAGGCAGAGCAAGACCCTGTCTCAAAAAAAAAAAAAAAAAAAATAGCTGGGCATTGTGATGGGTGCTGAGTCCCAGCTACTCAAGAGGCTGAGACAAGAATTGCTTGAGCCCCAAGAGTTTGAGGTTGCGTGAGCTAAGACGCCACAGCACTCTACCAAGGGTGACCAAATGAGACTCTGTCTCAAAAAAATATATATCAGGTCACAATAAAATTCATATAAGAAAACAATAACAGATTTAATAACATGAAAAAAGTTCTATCTGGTACACGTCTATAAACAAAGTTCAGACATAAGCAACAGACAAGGGGAAAATGATAATCAAATAATTAACATGCAAAATATAAAGAGTCCTATAACTGGCTGTCATTGAGCACTTACTACACATATAGAATATTAATCCTGGTGTTTTGCATGATTTAGTTCATATCATCTTCACGTGACCTTAGGAAAAGGCATTGAAACTAAAACTTTGGTAACTTTTCTGAGGCAACACATTTAGCAAGTTGCAGACCAGGATTTGAACCCAGACGCTCCAGAATTCACATGCTTCACCATTACACTATGATGTTTCTCTAATAAGAAAAAACTTAACCTATGAGATAGAAGATGGCCAACTAAAGACATTGCTTACTGGAGCAACCTAGAGCAAAGGAAGGGTTACAAATAAAGTGGGGGAAAATGGGCACAGCTCAGGTATAGTTTGGAGGAGAGGCTGCTGGAGCCTACTGGGGAATTTACAGAGAGAAACTGTGAAGCAGAACAGGAAAAGGGAAAAAGAGCAATAGGAAAAGAGATAGGCCAGGATCAAACCCAGAAAGACTGGGAGCCCAGTGCAGGGATGAGAGGGGTGCTTTTTCCCCATACCCACACACTTCCGGTAGTCAGCAAGCTATCAAATTGTTTGAAGCTTTTCCAGCCTTGGGAGCCCAGGTGCTGCTGCAACCACTGATGTGTAGAGAACTGGTGTGATCCCTGAGCTTGGACATTCCATGCAGGCTTCTCTCCAGGGGAAGGAGACTAGGGCCCTGGCTCTTGTCCATCCAGATTCTTTTCCTTCCCAGCCCCTTCCCTGTCTACTACAGCCAGGAGGGTGGATTGAAGCAGCAGCCTCTCTTCAGCTGTGGTGTCCTCCAGTCTGGGGTTCATAGAGAGTGGAGCCCACACCTTCCCCCTTGGGGAACTGCGGTGGACCCATGGATGCTGAGTCAAGGAGTCCTTGCTTTCCAGCATTGTCCAGGTCAGACACAATCTGGTCTGGCCCAATCTAGTGCCCCTAGGACTCAAGTGTATTGCTAGGGGTCACAAGGGAGAGATTTGAGAGCTTGAATCAGGAGGCAAGGAGCTCATGTGGGCAGAGCTGACAGAAGAGCACAGGATCTGAGCCACCATGCTCTGCTGGAGCACCCATCCCCCAATGGGAATCTCATTGTGCCAAGGTTGAGGAGTGCAGGGCTTTGGGACACCTGTTTCCAAACAGACACTGGAGGAAGCCTCTGAGCAAAGACGGGCAGAGCTTACTCTGTCAGTTGTAATGATGAATTACAGATGCCCCCTACTCCACAGGCAGTCTTTCCAGTAAAGAGAAGCCACTTTGGCCCATTTCCCAGTGGCTATTCCTGGGCATCTGGGATATGAACTATGAGCCCTGCTGAGAATTTGCAGAACCTTCCAGACTGACCCAATCTTGCTCCACCCAGCCTCACTCTCCACCCACCTCTAAAGCCTATTACAGGCACAAAAGAAAATCTCTGCACTCTTTCTAGGGACATCAATCACTGACAGAACAGCTGTATAGCTCATTACATAATCTACTGACTCAGTCCAATAGGGCCTGGCTGGTTCTTACAAGAACCACCCACTAAATCAGAGACTAAGCTTGGGCTCCCCATATAATCCACATTGCTGAGAAGAGGGAAGACAGCTGAATATAAGCAACCTAAGGGAGTATGACTTTCTCACAGCTGTCAGTGCCTGAGGTCTCCCTCCACTGATCTGGGAGCTGTTCAGAGTCTGTGCAGAGATACTGCTCAGAGATAATGTGCAGCAAGGTCCAGTGACTGCCAGTCCTGGGTCTCTGCGACAGACTCCATCCTTTTGGGGGGCCCCAATGCAGCCATGCACAAACTCTTTCCCCTCCTCCTTACCTCCCAAAACAAAGAAAAGATCTGGTTAGCCCAGCCCCTTAAAAGTTCTTGCCAAAAGACCCTAACTTTCCAGGCAAGCTGTGGAATTTGTCCATCCCCTACAGCTCCATATAAAAGGGGCCTCTAACTGCCCCTGGGTGCAGACACCACCTTTGAATTGCCCTTATGGGTCACCCTCCTCTTTCAATAAACCTGACCTGAACATCTCCCATGTGGCCTTGTCTCTGGGTGCCATCATTTACACTTTTCATCCTGATGGCTCTAGTGAACAGAACCAAATCCTCTTGGGACCCAGCCTTCCAGAAGTAGCCTTTGCATTGCCCCCGCCAGGCTGGGGAGAGAGCAGAGAGCAGAAGGTCCCCTGTATTGTAGTATATTCTATGACTGGGGATTGAACTCATCTCCTCTCCTGTGTGGGATTTACGAAGAGGAGGAGCTAGAGAAACTGCAGGCACCAATTCTTGAGAGAGAGCCTCAGCAGGTCCCAGGTGTGTGGTGGGGGTAGCTCAGCTGATCAGCAGCTCTAGCCCACCCGGGGGTCCCTGGGCCACTGAGACAAACACTGCCTGCACAATTGGCATCAACAATCTCCACACAAGTAGAACAGCACTCCATAGGTGCATCTCTGCTCCCATAAGCCCCAGAACCAACTCTAAAACTGTTACTGTGCCAGAGGCTCTTCACCTAAAACTCCAGGGCCACTGCTAGGCCTGGGATAACATCTCTGAGATTTCAGAATTAAGCCTAGACCTCAAGACATTACACCTGATTCTCCACCACTGCTGCTAGGCTGGTGGAAACTCCCCTAGGTTCGGTGCTCCACCTGGGAGTCCCCCAGCCCAAGCAGACATTACACTTGGACCTAGTTCATGCAAAAGCCCACTGCCTGGTCTTCCATAACCACTGTGCCAATAGAGTCACCCAGCTGCCACTCTCACCTCCAGTGAGCGACCCTGGCTAGAGCAATCCCCCACACCAACAGCTATTTTGGAGAGGGTTGCATTCAGCCTCCAGTGCAAACTTCTAACAATGATCAGGGGGACAACCTGCCATCCCACATGAAGATCATCAGCACTGGCTTGGACTGAGGTAAGCATAGGGGAAAGGGTTAAAACAAAAGTTTCTCTATGGGCTCTTACTGTACCTGCCCCTCCCCTGACGGGTCAACATTCTAGAGTAGGTCCTCAAAGCTCTATCTACTGTCCTTCCCTTCCCTCAACAAGAGAGGGAATATTAAATCAGAGCTGAGAGAAGAGGAGCCAGATGAGAAGAAACCAGCAAAAGAACTTGCAACATGAAAAAACAAAATAGCTCAAGACACCCAAGGAAGGGATCACAATGGAGCTACAGCAGTGTTCCATAAGGCGTTGATGAAATGACAGAAATGTAATTCAGAATGTGGATGGAAAATAAGATGAATGGGATTGGAGAGAAAGTAGAAAACCAACAAAAAGAAGCCAAAAAAAATTTTTTTAGGCATTTAATGGCAAAGCCACTAAAGAGCTAGACAAAATAAGAAAAGATATAATAGAACTTAAAGAAATAAAGGAGTCATTTAGGGAGCTTCAAAACACTTCAGAAAGCATCAGCACCAAAGAAACTCAGAGCTTGAAGACAAGACTCTGAAGCTAACCCTGTCATGCAAAAAGGCAGAGAAGAGTATGAACAAGTCTGAGCAATAACTAAGAGAGATATGGAACCATATGAAGTGAACTGACATTTGAATTATAGGCATCCCTGAGGGAGAA